GTCAGAGAGGCGGGGCGGGGGCCGGAGCCGGTTCAAAGAGTGAGGGCACCGGGCGGTGACAGACCGAGCAGGCTGGGGATGAGACAGGCCCAGAGCATCCGTACCCGGCGTGGGGAGCAGCCGGCTTCATCAATGAACATCTAGGGGGCCACTTGACTCATTTAGAGGTGCACGTGCCCCCCTCATGCCACCCCTCCAACATGCCTCACCAATGAGCAGGGCTGTGAGGGGACGGGGAAGGGATGGGCTGAGTGTGAGGGGACAGGGCAGGCAATGGCAGGGTTGGGATGGGGGAGGGATGGGCTGAGTGTGAGGGGACAGGGCAGGCAATGGCAGGGTTGGGATGGGGGAGGGATGGGCTGAGTGTGAGGGGACAGGGCAGGCAATGGCAGGGTTGGGATGGGGGAGGGATGGGCTGAGTGTGAGGGGACAGGGCAGGCAATGGCAGGGTTGGGATGGGGGAGGGATGGGCTGAGTGTGAGGGGACAGGGCAGGCAATGGCAGGGTTGGGATGGGGGAGGGATGGGCTGAGTGTGAGGGGACAGGGCAGGCAATGGCAGGGTTGGGATGGGGGAGGGATGGGCTGAGTGTGAGGGGACAGGGCAGGCAATGGCAGGGTTGGGATGGGGGAGGGATGGGCTGAGTGTGAGGGGACAGGGCAGGCAATGGCAGGGTTGGGATGGGGGAGGGATGGGCTGAGTGTGAGGGGACAGGGCAGGCAATGGCAGGGTTGGGATGGGGGAGGGATGGGCTGAGTGTGAGGGGACAGGGCAGGCAATGGCAGGGTTGGGATGGGGGAGGGATGGGCTGAGTGTGAGGGGACAGGGCAGGCAATGGCAGGGTTGGGATGGGGGAGGGATGGGCTGAGTGTGAGGGGACAGGGCAGGCAATGGCAGGGTTGGGATGGGGGAGGGATGGGCTGAGTGTGAGGGGACAGGGCAGGCAATGGCAGGGTTGGGATGGGGGAGGGATGGGCTGAGTGTGAGGGGACAGGGCAGGCAATGGCAGGGTTGGGATGGGGGAGGGATGGGCTGAGTGTGAGGGGACAGGGCAGGCAATGGCAGGGTTGGGATGGGGGAGGGATGGGCTGAGTGTGAGGGGACAGGGCAGGCAATGGCAGGGTTGGGATGGGGGAGGGATGGGCTGAGTGTGAGGGGACAGGGCAGGCAATGGCAGGGTTGGGATGGGGGAGGGATGGGCTGAGTGTGAGGGGACAGGGCAGGCAATGGCAGGGTTGGGATGGGGGAGGGATGGGCTGAGTGTGAGGGGACAGGGCAGGCAATGGCAGGGTTGGGATGGGGGAGGGATGGGCTGAGTGTGAGGGGACAGGGCAGGCAATGGCAGGGTTGGGATGGGGGAGGGATGGGCTGAGTGTGAGGGGACAGGGCAGGCAATGGCAGGGTTGGGATGGGGGAGGGATGGGCTGAGTGTGAGGGGACAGGGCAGGCAATGGCAGGGTTGGGATGGGGGAGGGATGGGCTGAGTGTGAGGGGACAGGGCAGGCAATGGCAGGGTTGGGATGGGGGAGGGATGGGCTGAGTGTGAGGGGACAGGGCAGGCAATGGCAGGGTTGGGATGGGGGAGGGATGGGCTGAGTGTGAGGGGACAGGGCAGGCAATGGCAGGGTTGGGATGGGGGAGGGATGGGCTGAGTGTGAGGGGACAGGGCAGGCAATGGCAGGGTTGGGATGGGGGAGGGATGGGCTGAGTGTGAGGGGACAGGGCAGGCAATGGCAGGGTTGGGATGGGGGAGGGATGGGCTGAGTGTGAGGGGACAGGGCAGGCAATGGCAGGGTTGGGATGGGGGAGGGATGGGCTGAGTGTGAGGGGACAGGGCAGGCAATGGCAGGGTTGGGATGGGGGAGGGATGGGCTGAGTGTGAGGGGACAGGGCAGGCAATGGCAGGGTTGGGATGGGGGAGGGATGGGCTGAGTGTGAGGGGACAGGGCAGGCAATGGCAGGGTTGGGATGGGGGAGGGATGGGCTGAGTGTGAGGGGACAGGGCAGGCAATGGCAGGGTTGGGATGGGGGAGGGATGGGCTGAGTGTGAGGGGACAGGGCAGGCAATGGCAGGGTTGGGATGGGGGAGGGATGGGCTGAGTGTGAGGGGACAGGGCAGGCAATGGCAGGGTTGGGATGGGGGAGGGATGGGCTGAGTGTGAGGGGACAGGGCAGGCAATGGCAGGGTTGGGATGGGGGAGGGATGGGCTGAGTGTGACGGGACGGGGCAGGCAATGGCAGGGGTGGGATGGGGAAGGGATGGGCTGAGAGTGAGGGGACGGGGCAGGCAATGGCAGGGGTGGGATGGGGAAGGGATGGGCTGAGTGTGAGGGGACAGGGCAGGTAATGGCAGGGTTGGGATGGGGAAGGGATGGGCTGAGTGTGAGGGGACGGGGCAGGCAATGGCAGGGTTGGGATGGGGAAGGGATGGGCTGAGTGTGAGGGGACGGGGCAGGCAATGGCAGGGTTGGGATGGGGAAGGGATGGGCTGAGTGTGAGGGGACGGGGCAGGCAATGGCAGAGTTGGGATGGGGAAGGGATGGGCTGAGTGTGAGGGGACGGGGCAGGCAATGGCAGAGTTGGGATGGGGAAGGGATGGGCTGAGTGTGACGGGAC